AGCAAGCTTTCCCTCAGTGACTGGCTGGCTGAGTGGGGTTCTTAAATAGATTGTTGTGCCTTACTGCTTTCAATGTGGTTTTGGGTTTTTTTTGTTTTTTGTGTTGTATTGTGATATTTGACCCTTTTTAGTATTTATAAACTTACTGATTTTAGTTTTAAATATTGTATTTTGATTATGTAAGCTGCATTGGGCCCTTTTTAAAGAGAAAGGTGGGGTAAAAATATTTTAATAAATAAAAAAATAAATAAAATGAGAGTAAACATGCATCATTGGAAACCAAGACCAATATCATCCACACTCTTGTATTCCTGATCACCACATATGGGTGTGAAAGCTGGAAAGTTAAAAGAGCTAACAGGGGGAAAATTGAAATGTGGTGCTGGAGGAGAGCTTTGTGGATGCCCTGGCCTGCCAGAAAGAGAATCAAGTGGATCATATCAAGCCTGAACTATCTCTAGAGGCAAAAATGTTGAAACTCTTGGGCCTGTCCTATCATGGGCACATAATGAGAAGACACGATTCTCTGAAAAAGACAATAATTCTGGGAAAGGTGGAAGGCAGCAGGAAAAAAGGAAGACCAAATATGACATGGACTGATCCCCTAAAGGAAGCCACAGGCTTGAATCTACAAGAGCAGAATAGGTCTGTTAAGGACAGGACGTTTTGAAGATTGCTCATTCATAGGGATAAATTGGAGATGACTTGACAACATATAACAACAACAATCTAGCCAATAGCCATGCTAATCTGTTGTAGTACAAGAGAATCTGGAAGTGTTGTGGGCTTATTTTTTGTTTTCTTATAAGATTTCGTACATCTAAGCACACTTCTTCATGTGAATGGATACACAAAAGCGTATAAAAATAAAATCTAGTTAGTCTTAAAGGTGCTGCAAGACGTCCAATTCCTATTAGAAAACATTCAGGTGGAAATAAATACTTAAAAAAATCTCAATAGGATCTTGAGACTAATTAATCTAATCCGTGAGGCTATGGGCCAAAACCTAATGAAAGCTTTTGTAATAATGAATGTAGTAGTTTTAAGATGTCACAGAACTGTCATTTTTGCTGCAGCATGGCTACCCCTTTGGAATGTCTTTATCATTGTATAGATACCAATGTTGAGTATCAGTGACTTGCTCACAGCTCCTGGATCTTAACAGCAAGGAGTGGATCTTAATGGGAAAGCATCAGCTCTTCATTATTGATAGGACTGTTACTGCAAAGTACTGCCCCTTCGGTGTTGGGCAGTCCTCTTGACAGCTAGGTGACTCACCCAGGCTTTCTAAGCAGAAATCCAACACACTAACCACCAAACTGCTCTTTTCAGTGCCTTTGTCACTACAGCGACCATTATAATTAACATGGACTATGACTAGCCATATTGTTGGTAAATTAAGCAATCATCAGTTTGCCAACACTTCCCATTGAATTGTTTATGGGAGAAAACCATGCTTATCTGGAGCTCTCTATTAGAGGTTTCTAATTAGTCTATTAATCTCCATTAGCCTCTAATTAAGATTCTTCCTTATTTCTGGATTCTTTATGTCCCCATTTTTTCCCATTTCACTTATGATTTTTTTTCAACACAAGATGATAACGGTGACAATTTTCATATTTTATCTGCCTTCCCAATTAAGTAGGACAAGGATTGTAGGACAGTACTGCATTTGTCTTTCTATTCTTTTGGAGGTGATTCTTTTGGCATCTTTTTGACATGTTGGTGAAAGAGCTTATGGAAATTTTCAAGGCTAATGCCATCAACTTAACTATTAAGTAAGGTGTTAGCCACTCTGTAATTACTCATGCTTGGTCATTTAATTAATGTTTGATATTTTGATGCTTCTGTGAGCTCTGAAATAATTTAGAATAGAACTACAAAATGTATAAGCCACCGTCCAGTGCTAAATTAGGCATGTTAGGTTGTAACTATCTTTTTAATCCATTAATTGTGTTCATTTTCACTAATGTGGGAGTCCATGATGCATATCTGAACAGTCTCTATAAAATGTACATAACAGTGTTAAATCAAATGAATAATGCATTTTGGCATAAATGTGATCACAATAATAATCCAGTAACAGAGGAAAACAATCAACATTTAAATTTACATAATGGAAGTATTCTAATGAAGATGCCACAGAAGTATATTAGTATGTGTCTTTTAACTATGATATAATTAATTGTGTTTTAGAGGGAAGCACTGGATAAACAAAACAAATAGCCACCTGTTGAATTGGTTGCAATTTGATTTCCAAGAAGAACACTTAGTTAATAAATTAAAATAGTTACTGATTTGCATGTACTGATTTGGCACTTATAAGTAAATACCTTTTTAGATTTCAGCCTTAGTGTAAAAGACATCTGGTTTGAAATTTCAGCTTGCATCATGTACTAAAATGGCTGTAGCGTTTTGACAAATAAATTAAGCTATATTTTCATGCATTACTTCTTTTAAAATGACAGCATGTAGCTCATTGATTAGCAACTAGACGGGCTAGAATGCTAATGTACGGCAGCCTGCAGGACTGATGGAAGAAGGCTTGTCTGGTGTCTGTCAGTCACTTGGCTGCTGTTCTGCTCATGGGCAGTGGGCTCCAGAGTCTACAGATCAAAAATTCTTTGCCAAACGATTGCACAAAAAGACTATGCTTAACGCTACTTAATACACTTCAGTGCCATTTGTGAAATAGACTGGGCCACTGTGTGAAATGCATAAGTGATACGTGAACTATATGGATGATAGAAGTTGTTGTATTCCTGGCATTTGTCCTCTTTTTCTGTAACTGACCAGCTGTCTGTACAGCTGCCACTGAATTCATTGATACCCAGTCTGACTCTTCTGTCATTCTGAACTGGATTCTGATTCAGGCAGGGTTTCTGAAAGCCACCATGTTGGTCCTGCTGTTTCAGATGTGCAGATTGCATTTTCACAATACTGTATCTCTCTTTTTATGAAATGTTAATGTGCCAGACTATCTCTTGTGATCTTGTTCAGTCTGATAATATTACAGGTTTAGTGCAGAAGAATACAGTTAATTTTTAAAACACATTGTACTTAGGGTCAAACTAAACTATCGTTTAGTTCTTATCTCTCTGTACTTAGAAGTGGTGTGCTCTTGAGTGATTAACAATGTGTCTGCCTAAAACAAGGTTTTCTCACCTTCATATCTTGCAGTCCAGCCTGCCTTGTTTGTAGTTGATTGTCTGAAACTAAACAAAAGCTTATTTTGCAATGTGATTTCCTAGAAATTTACTTTTTGAGAAGTTGTATTGTGAGAGGAAGAATTGTTGATTACAAGAAATACACATTTCCTGTAACATCTGGTTTGACCTTTATTCCTGCATTTCTGTTGCATTCACAGTCAAATTAGCAGAATCCTTGAATTTTATTACTTGTAATCTTCTTATTTATGACCCCGGCTTATTTTGATGGTTGCTCAATCAGTCTGAAAACAGAGTTCTCATAAGGGAGAACTCTGAACTATTACCTTCTGCTTGCCTTGAGAGTGGTGAAGAGGGCCTTGTTTGGGTGTGAGGTGAAGGGTGCTAAAAGATTCTGTTGCATTTGCCACAACAGAATTATACAGCTGTCTCTCCCTCTAAAAATTATTGCATTGGAGTGCTTTCAGAGTGCTTTCTGCTGCAGAGCTTTGAATTTCTGTTGAAATTCCTTTTTGTTACGAACTGGGAGTACAAAGATACACAGAGTGGAATAGCTACAAGTTCCTCAGAGTCCAGCCCTTTCTCACCAACTGCCACTTAAAAGTCTCAGTAACTGACTCTGAGACATTTGTAGCAGAAAGAATAAAAACATTTCTTTAATTACAGTTGAATGAAACTACAGATGTAGTTTCTTTACTACACACTTACGTAGCAACTAGAGATAGGGGCATTCATATTCATATCTCCTATCGTAATCTCCTCTCATGCCAGAGATCGTGATCGCTGAGCCACTCCTGGCAGGAGGCAGGACGACAAGCCTCTCTGCCAGGCTGAACAGTGGCTCGGCGATTGCGATCTCCGGCATGATAGGACAGGAGCACAGACCCCGCAGCATTAGCACATCAGTGAGTGGACTGTCCGGCCCCATGGGGCCAGATCCTTGTTACCTCCGCCTCTGCGTGAGTATTCGTATTCATATATGAATACCCCCAACTCTAGTAGCAACCAATGGAACAGATCAACAGGGAACAAACAACTTCCACCGGTTGAGAAAAGACAGGGAAAAAGGCACTGAGCAGGGAGGCAGGGCTCTCTTTAAATTCAGAGGAATGATCGATTAGTGCTAGACAGGTAGACAATAACCCCAGTCCCTTTCATTCACTCAAACTGCAGACAGCATGTGAGATTGCCAACAAAATTCCAGCACTTTATTGGAGTAAAAGAAATGCATGCCCACTGCTCGATAGATGGTGAAAATTCCATCATTTGTTCCTAATACATCGTTGAACTTATGCTACAGATGATAGATCTATATCTTTAGTAGTTTATCAGCATTACATTTGTATGTTGCACTTGGTAATAAATGTACCTTATAAAAAGTCAGTGAGGGAGTTTATAAAAACCTTTTAATTAATAATGATCAATAGGAATTATCTCAATGGATATTCTGGAGTGAGAAGAAAATTGGGAGTGAAATCATATTATCTTGCATTTTTCTGTGCGTAATTGATTTAGGTATATGGAAGCCAGTTTGTACCAGCACCAAGTTATTTCTGTAATGTGACCATTTTGCTATTGGGGAAGGAAGTCTTAAAATCAACCAGAACTGATCAAAACATTTCAGTCTTTGAAATATGGCTAACATAATTTGAAGTAGATTTAACATTTATGCGGCTGGATAACGTGTGACTATTTTTTTGTACAGAATCATGACAGAATTCTAAAATTCTTTATAACTAATACTTTACATGTTGCACAGATGGGATACTGAGATCTTTTTCTTTAAAGTTCTGTCCTTGTTCTAATTGTGGGATTGTATTTCTGTTTGTGCAGAACTACTATGGAGCTGCCAAAGCGATCTTTTCTGACAACCCACTTGGGCTGACATGTGGGATGGTTTGCCCAACTTCAGATCTCTGTGTGGGTGGATGTAATTTATATGCCACCGAGGAGGGACCAATTAATATTGGTGGACTGCAACAATTTGCAACAGAGGTAAGTAAAGATGTATGGTTTGTGCACGGTTGCTCTTCCCCTTTGTGTACAACATGATTAAACAATTTTATTTTTTGACATTCTGACTGAGTCATGTATTTTCTTTGTATTTAATCCAAGGTAAGAGTTAGAGAGTTAGTTGCAATGAAGATATTCATTTTGATATAAGGCACAGTTCTGTAATCTGGTGTCATCCCTGCACATAATGCTGTTCTGGCATGCTATTTGTCCAGTCAAATGCATTTTAATGTTATTTTCACTATATAAACCAGAAACATCATTCCCCCCCCCCATTTTTAGATAATATTCTCTTCAAGAGAAAAGGTTTATGGTACCAGTTCTAGCTTACCAGTGATCATAACAGCCTGCAGTCCACACTGCTTAATGCACGCTGAGGCTTCAACATGGGCATTTTGTTCCTCAGAGTGGTGCACAGTGGATCTTTGAAAAATTTACCCATTGCTCCACTTCTCCTGTTCTGGCTACTTACCTCTGATGTTCCGTTCATATATTCCTAGTAAGAAAGTTGGGTGGGCACCTGAATGCTGGGCAGGCATATGCATTGAGCAAATGAGACTTTATATATTCTACCAATATATTGAGTGTTTTGTTTTAACATTGAAAGGCCAGTGTAATACCTTTATAGCAATGATGGCGAACCTATGGCACATGTGCCATGAAAGGCCAGTGTAATACCTGGCCACATGTGCCACAGCTGGCACGCAGAGCCCTTTCTGCTGGCACACGAGCCATAGGTAGCCAGATCGCTACTCCCCCTGCCCCCCCTTGCAGCCAAACCTCAGGAGGCAGCTGCAGCCACTGCTGGCACTTTGGGAGGCGGATCCGGAACAACTGGTGCTGGCAGCGGAGGGGTCTTGAGGAACCCCTTCTGCCTCCACTTCCGGTTGCGGGTATGCTGGTTCCAGTTCTGGGTCCTCTTGGTGGTGGCACACCACCCACTTTTTGTTTTTTTTTTCCCAGTTTGGGCACGCGAGCCCCTCTGCTGGGATTCCCCCTTCTGCCTCCACCTCCGGTTCCAGGTATGCCCATTCCAGTTCTGGGTCCTCTTGGCGGTGGCACACCACGCACTTTTTGGGTTTTTTCCCCCAGTTTGGGCACGCGAGCCCAAAAAGGTTTGCCACCACTGCTCTATAGGGTGGCTTGCTTTCTCTGTATTTTTCTTAACAAATACAGCATTGAAGCTTTTGCAGAAGAAATAGATTAAACTCTTGTCAAATGTGTGAGCAATATAATACTGAATTATTACTGTTTTTAAACCCAAATGCAAGTAATATCTGTTAAACCTTGATTTGTGTCTCCCTTTAGTCTTAATGCTGTGATTAATAGGAAGAATTATGCCTTGATAGATTTTGCTAAATATCTACCATTCTTCTTCAAAAATCTTCAGAAATCTATTTAAAATGCTATGTGCTGGCACTATGATTGATATTAAAACTGGCATAGGATGAATAGCTCAGAATGGTTTTCATCACAGAATTTTAAGTTTATTTAAAGTGATGTATCGGTATCAAGGGTTCTAATACAGTTGAGCAATGTGGTAGTTCTGCATAATTTAAAATGAAGTAAAATATATATGCACACAAACATATACTTAGAATGCATGCACTATTTATACTCTGCTCATGTTCATAACTGTTGTAAAATGTAGATTTTTTCTGAGTGGTGTTCTTTAATGACTGTTTCATATATTATAGAAATGATAAGGAATGATAATCTGTCATATTCAGAATTCAATTTTTTTGTAATGCCCTACTTCTTTTCTGAGCATATGAGGCTGAATAATTTCTTCTTCTCTTCAGCAGATGAAATCTTTCAAAATTAAAATTTAGAGCTTGTTACTGTAGTGAAATGCCAACAGGTGACGTCATTCCTGCCTGTCCATCATAGAAGCTCAAGAGGGAGGAGCCAAGGATAGGGCAGGAGGGGCGGAGTAAGAGAGACAGTTGGAGATGTGAAATGGCAGTTAGGGTTTAGCAGAGAGAAGGAGAGGGTTGGTGAATTGAGCTGAGGGTGTTAGGAGAGGGAATTGAGAAGGTTAAACAATATTGAACAAGCAGGAATGAAATTATGAGCACTATATGAGAGATATTGATTGAAAGTATATAGCAGTGTGGAATAAAAGTGATTGCCTCCATGATCCAATCCGTGTTAATACCTGATACAGTTCGTATATGATTTACCTTTATGATTTACTTAACAATAAAAGAATATTTGTTAATTAAACCTCTGATTCCTAAGTTCAATAACCCTTAGTGTTGGCAGCACATGTGTATAACATAATTGGTATTAGGAGAATACCTGGTGGCAGTGTGAGGGAAATAGGGCGTGATCCCTTGTGAGGGCCAAATAAATAGGGGCAACAAGGTAGATTGCCAGTTACCATAAACTGCCAGGACAAATGCACAGTAGAATAAAGGAGATACCATCAAAGAGATAGATGAACTCTTGGACATAGACCTCAAAAAAGTTTTGTGAAATAGTTTATGTGGAAGAATCCTGCATATTACAGCCTAAAGCACTTTGACTATCGCTACTTCATGTCCACTACTCTTTCTCATTACAAGAGATAACTTGCCAAGGCAGTGTTCCATGCAGAGCATTTACGAGGCAGCTAGAACCATTAAAGGATAAATAAGAATAAAATGTAAAAATATCATTTCTAGGGTAAATAAGAACATAAGTTGGGAATAGTATATAGACGTCATGACTAGTTGCAATTGATGGCTCTAACTTTAATTTTTCTAATCCTCCTTTAAAGCTATACAAGTTTACATTCTTTATCACATCTTGAGGAAACAAATTAATTGTGTGGAGCATAAAGAAATCCTTCCATTTATCTGTCTTGAATTTTGCACCATTCAGCTTGATTGGTTGATCCTAGATTTTAGTAAAATGACATACAGGGAGAAAGATTTTACTGTGTCCACATTCTCCACAATATAGTATCTGTCAGGGACTCATCTCCAAACCCCCGTGAGAAGAGTAGCTTCAGCTACAAAAGTGTATTTGAAACTATATTCCAGGAAACCACTGCTTCTTGTAAGTGCATAAAGGGTTCCCAATGAGAAGACTAGTGGTGGTGGTTCTTCTTCGTGGTCTCTGTGAAATCACACATAGGAGTTCCTTTGGTTCCTATGCAAAGATCCTTGGAATCTTCTAGAGTCTAAAGAAGTGTTAGGACATTGCCTCTTCACAGTGCATTCTCCTTACCCTGAGGGCAGTCCTTAGTTCCTTTTTGTCCCCTAAGAACACCTGAGGAGTTTTCTTAGACCCTACCATCATTCCTTTTTGTTTTTTCAGAACCATCTGTGTATAGCTACCTCTTGTCTGTCTTTCACTGTCTTCCCCTCTCCTCTTCTATATTATCATTCCTGGGGGGGAAATGTTTAATAGTTTAGTTGTTACCTAGTAGTGGTCTTGTGGTTAATGGTTGTTTCCATCTTTTTTGTTCTCCCAATTCAAAAGGCACATCAGCTGCAGCAATAAAATACCCCTCACAGATAGACATTTGGGGTGTTTATATTGCCTTGGTTAGGGGCACCAAACTCATAACTGTCAGTTCTGTTGTAAATTTATGAGATAGCCATCAGGAACTGCCAATCTTGTTTGAAGTTTTATCTGTGGAAAAAAGTCCCTGCAGGCTGTTGACATTGCCAAGGAGGCTCCAGTTTCCACAGTTTTGTCTGTAAAACCCCATCACAGAAACATCTTACTGAGACTCTCCAGATTGACTCAACCTCCACTAAGACCATAGAGGAGCAGGCTAACCAACAAACACCAACTCAGCCTTTAAACTGAAGATAAGCCTTCGACTTCAAGGTCATTGAAGACACCATCATTGATGAAGGAAAGGATAAATAAACCTATTGATTCTGATCCTCAGATGAAGAAGGCAAAGACCAAGAAATCCAAGGGTCAAACACCATTGCCCTTATCACCTCTCTATTACTCACTGCACAAGGCCCCAGACAAGTGCTGTGCAGAGTTTGATGATCTGGTCTGCCTGGGCTCAGAATTGGAGGGAGAAATTTCCCAAAATTGGATATTGGATATTGTCCCTGGCTTTTAGCCATTTGCTCAAATGCAGCCAACTCACTCAGCAAATGCTCGGCAAGCTATCACTACCCTGTCACAGCTCAAAGGGTGTTCCACCAAAGGAATTGCTTGCTTTTTGGGAGCAATCTCATATGTCATCGGACTCAACCCTTAAAGGGCTCACCACAGGAAAAATACTGGCCAAAGAGTGCCACCTGCCAACTGAGGATCTCAGTCTTGAATTTTGCACCATTCAACAGTTCTGCCATGGTGCCATACTTTATTTCTTTCCTGGCCCAGAGTGGCCCTTTCTGCAACCATACTGTACTACCGCTACCAAATGACACAAGGTAACAAGACCACCAGCCTATGTACTCACCAGTATTGGCTCAACAGTTGTCAGTTTCGGGAGCCTTTTCATTCAAATTCATTAGAACCAAAATGCTGACATAGAGCCACAGCCTCTAAATCACCTAAACCCAGGCACTCTTATTCTACCTCAGCTCCAAAGTTGTCAAGACTGACAAAACCATACCTTGCTGACTTACCACGCTCAACATCCTCCCAGGAGGAGACACCATTGTACCTCCCTGTGACATTATTTCCAGATCTCTCTTTCTCACTCAAAGTGATCTCAAGTTCCACTCGAATCACCCCTAGGTACTTCCTACATTTTTCCTGTAGTTGGAAAAGTCGCTCCATACTTTGGATGTTTGCAGATGTTAGCCTTTTACATTTCTAGAACCACAGCATTTCAAAAGTCCACTACTTTTTGTTAGTCACCAGTGGTTAGTAGCTAGTGGTTCTGATACCAAAACAGTTCGGCATGTCACACTTCAGAGGTTGTTGGAATCACCTTATGCTACCAACTAAAATGTTCTAAAAGAACATTTTAGAACAATCACCTTATGCTACCAACTAAAATGTTCTAAAAGAACATTCTA